CTTTCCCTCCACCTCCATCTCTCTATCTCTATCTCACACACACACACACACTGAGTCATCAAACATTGCCTCAGATCTTAGAAAACAAAACAAAACAAAACAAAACAGAAGAGCTGACTGTGTGGGAAAAGCAGGGCATTGGTCCTTTGAATGCAAGTATCACATTACTGACATCGAATTCTCATTACCAGGCAGTATAAAATATATTCTGAACTGTAATGTTTGTGTTGATGCAAACTCTGGTTCTCTGACTGTTCTCACAGTAAACCACAAAACAATCAATTTGCTGTCAGATTCTTAATTCTTGCTCAGAAATACATTTAAGCACCCATGCTAACACACACTTTTTTTGGTCAAAATGTTTTAGAATGAGCCCATCGAGTTTAGACCCAACAATTACTTTACTCACTCACAACAGCTTTATATCATGCTGTATTATTATTCATCATTAATCATTAACCTCTCTCTCAGAAACATAATTAAAATTATATTTTATAGCAAAGCTTATGTCAATACTTTCTTTATCCACCATCTCCTATCTCTGGTTTCTGACTCCCTGGTTGCATAATTGCAGATACTTCATCAGCTTTAATCACCTAATTAGTCTACTAGAACCACATTTGGGGATTGAGCTATTTATTTGACTAATATTTATCAAGCATTTACTATGTTCCAGGTTCTGTTCTAGAATCTTGGAATATACCAGTGAACAAATAAATGGAGTCTTTGCTCTCAGAAAGCTCATGCTCTACTGGATGGAGACAGACTCTAAATGTATGAACAAGTAAATATATCATACGTCAGAGAATAATTAGAACTAAGAAGAAAAATAAAGGAGACTAAAAAGACGTGAAGAGATGAGTATTGTATCATTATAGGTAGATTATTCAGTAAAGGCTTCTTTGAAGTGGTGAAATGATGAAATCAGAGTAGGGTAATGAACCTTGTGATTCTATGCAGAAAAAGTGACCCAGTACAGGGACTGGCAAGTACAAATGCCCAGATATAGCAATGTGCTTAACATATTTAAAGAATTGCAAGAAGGCAGTGGACTGGAGGAGTATGAGAGTAGGGAATATGATAGAGACAAATTCAGAAAAATGGTGAGAAGCCTGATCACATGGGCTTTGGTGATCATATGGTAAATGTTTTTAAATTTTTATCCTGAGGAAAATAGGAACCCTTTACAGTGCTTTTGAACAGAGAAATGAGATACTCTAATTAGATTTCACAAATATCATCCTGAGTACTTCTTTGATGAATGAACTACAGGGGTCACAGAAGTCAAGGGAATTACCAAAAGCACATGAAAGAGGATAAAAAAAGAATCATGATAAAGAATGGACTAAAGGCTTCTAGGAATTATTATCTTGACTTTCTGTTCTTTTGCTCTTCTTCAGGAAATCACAGGCAGTCCAGCTCTTCTTTATCAATTTCCAGAAGCACCCTTACCAGTACTGCACACATTATTTAAACTTTAATATCTGAATAAAAATAAAAACAAACTGTCTTTTGGGTCCTCTAATAGAGAATAGAACTTCAATTAAAATGGTGGGTGAATGAAAATGAAGTGGAGGAAGCTAACTGAATTTTCCAGCTTTATGACTCACAATGTCTGTTCACTGAGTGAAGACAACTAGCCATGACTTGCCCTCAGCAATTGGATGAAAGGAGATATGCCTATCTGGAAGCCAAGAACTGTAAATTGGCCAGCTCCTCACTTGTATACTCATCAAACACGGGGTCTAGAATGGTCTAGAGAAGTTTTCTCATTTATTACCTAACCTATCACTTCTCAGCTTTTTGGCCAAATGTAATTTGTTACCTAACTAACATCATAGGTTAAAATAATTTCTTTTTCTTCAGTAAACTATTATTTTAGTAAATTATTTCCATGTATCTTTCTTTCATCTTGCTATAAGTTAATTCAGTTTCTTGTTGATTATTTTAAGATTTTATTCTTTAACAAGCACTTGGTTATTGTCTAAAATAAATTGAGCTTTTGGTTTTAGATGGTGTAATATTGGTGGATTTGTACAGGAATACAAAAGTCATCGGATAAAGGACAGCAGAGAGAAAGAAGGCTGTTAGCAATGGAAGAGAAGAATGTTAACTTTTCTGGAAGGGTGAATATTCATAGAGGAATTTTGGCAACATGGTCATCTGAGATACTAAGTAAGGAGATGTATCACTTCTGTTACATACACAACACATAGAATGCTGAATAAATATTTTAGCACATAGCTGAACTGGATTAAATAAAATAAAAGGATGTTCTCAGTGTCAAATACAACTATATTATCAGTATTTGTGTATATTAATTGTATGTCAGGATTATTGTAGGGATTTTGATTATGGTAAGGGGTTTTTATATATAAGTAACTAATTTAACCTTCACAGCAGCCCTATAATGTAATAACCATCAACATCCCCACTTTACAGTTAATAAAACAAAAGAATGTAGAGCTTAAATGACTTGCTCAAAGTCATACAGTTAGTAGTAGGTGGCCACACCAAGATTTGAATGCAACTTGACTTACTCTAGAATCTGAGTTATTAATTACTTTATGGCAATGAGAGACTGAAACTGTAAGGGTTCCGAATTATAAGGTTTAACTGAATTTTAAATTGTAAGGGTTAACTAACAGTACAAAGATTCATGATGTTTATGTTTCTGGACTTAGCTTGTCCATGACGAAATATGAGACACATCACAAAGATCCAAAATTATGTATTATAGATGCCTTATTCTACTATGCATGATATTAGAAAACCAATAATATAAACACTGTCACACATCAACACATAGCTGAAAAATATATATATACACACATACATATTGCACATACACATACAAACATGTACCTAAGTATACACATACACACATATAAAAACAAAAAATAACAAGTACGAACTAAGCACTTAACTTGAGAAGTTAGAAAAATACTAAATCGGTAAGAAAATAGAAGAAAGCAAATAATAAGTCATAAGCAAAAATCAATCAGATGGTAATGAAACAAAACATTAAGCAGATCACTGAAAGCAAAAGCTAGTCCTTTAAAAAGACTAATCAAATAGCATTCAGTAAGATTGAGTGTGAAAAATTAGAATTAGCACAAAGAAAATGTTGGAGATAAAAAGGTACCATAAATACAAATAAACATAAATACAGAAAAAAACAAGAGACTATCATACATAATGAAGATGGAATTCTAGAAAAAGTGAATTAACAAAATTAATACATAAAGAAATAAAAAGCCAAATATGTAAATAAACATTAAACAAATTAATTTTTAATTGTTATATCTACTTGCAAAAAAAAGTTAATAGACACAAATGATTGCAAAGAAATGTGTTATAAAACTTCCAAGAAATTGAAGAGCTCAATTTTATAGAAACACTTCCACAGAAATAAACTCCTTAAATTTTTTACAAGGCTAGTACAAAACTGATAAAAAACTGGAGAAGTAGAGGCAAAGTTAGAAAAATACAAACTGATTTCTCAGGAACATTGAGGTAAACATTCTAAACAAGGTACTAGCAAAGCAAATTCAGCCACAGATGATATAATGTTAATATTTTTCAGCCAGCTAGTATTTACTATGGGAATGCTGTCAGAGTTTAATATTAGAAATATTTTTGGTAGTATTCTCAAAATAAGATATTAAAGAAGAAATTGTGATATTTTTAAGAGACTTAGAAAGGCATTCAATTACAGTCAGAATTCATTCATAATTAAGAAAAAAAATCTTAGAAAAATAGGAAAAAAAGCAATTCCTTAATCTAACAGCATGTATCTATTAAAAGCCTGACAGGAAATTAGAAATAGAGTGAAAACACTTAATAATAGAGAAAATCAATTGCTTTCATGTACAGAAATATTAAAGTGTTATCTTTAAATAAGATACAAATAAAAACATCTCTGTTAAATTTTGCACTGGAATTCTAAGAAAACAAAACCAAAAGTAAAAAAGTTTGAAGTAAAAGAAACAAAATCAAACATTTTTGTTTCTTTTACTTATCCTGGAAAATTTGATTTTATTTGTCGAAAACTTCTTAGAATTAATAATAAAATCCCCACATTTGCAAGAATTCAGATAAATATACAACATTTAATAGCATTTTCTATTCAAAAGACAACCAAGTAGGAAATGTTTTTGCTTTTTTTAAGCCTCCCTTTGCAATAGCAGCAAACATTATAAAGATACTTTTAAAAAATTCTAAACAAATAGTTGCAAGGTATACATGGAAAACTATTTTTAGAAATTATTGATTGATATAAAAGGTTTACTTAGTGTGTGGGAAATGCCATTATCATTGATGAAAAGACTAATAAGTGTAAAAGTTTTAATTTTCTACCCAAATTAATCTATAAACACAAATACCAAAGAAAACCTAACAGGGTTTTTTTCTTGAACTTGACAGGTTGTTCATATATTCTTTGTTTAGAAGGTAAAGTAGTAAGAATAGCTAAGAAAAAATTAAAAAGGAGTTGGAATATTGGCTAAATGAAAATCATGAAATCATGCCATAATATAAAGCTCTGTCAGTTGGCACAAATAGACATAAAAGCATACGAAGGCTAAAAATGAACAATATAGAATATAGCATGTTGCAGAGGTAAAATAATAGGTGATTCAAGAAATTATTTTGTAAACACACACGCACACAAATACACACACTTTTTTTTTAACCTCAAGCCATACACAAAAAAATATACCAGATGAAGATCCAAATTTGAAAAACAAAAACTCTTAAGTTATTCAGAGGAAAAATATATAGAAAAATATCTTTATGAGAGTCAGGTGAGGAAATTTTTCAACATGATTTAGAGAGCACATTGCATAAAAAATAATAATTAAACAGAATTTATTAAATATTAAATTTTTAAAATATTAAAACTATTAATTTAACAAAAATCAATTTAATGAAATTTAAGAGCACTATTTACAATATTAGACCTTGATTGTAGTGATGGTATCATGAGTGTACACATATGTCAAAACTTATCAAAGTGAGTCTGGAGAAAAAATACAGGTTGCAGAAACCAGGTAAAGGACTTTTTACAATGCACATAATCAACAAAAGTCCATTCATTCATTCAGTCTCAAATATTAAAAACTCAAGCATTGGCCATCAAACAGAAAACCAAGCGGATAAAGTCCCTGTCCTCAAGAAAACATGTAGTCTAATGGGAAAGAGAGAGATAATAAACAGAAACAACATAAACACATAATTTATCAGCAGAAGCAACCTGAAGAAAGAGAGAAAGCCAGCCATAAAATATGCTAAGGCAGAACATTCCAGAGGGAAAGCAAATAGAAATGCCCTGAGTCAGGAATGTGCTTGGTATGTTTGAGAGGTAGCAAGGAAGTTAGTGTGACTGGAATCTGGGGTGAAAGGCATAGGGAAAAGTTAGGACGTAAGATCAGAAAGAGGTGACCAAGATTCAGATGACACAAAGTACCATTTCCATAAAAGATCTTTCACTTTTATTCTAAGGTAGAAAGCTATTGGAAAATTTTGAGCAGAAGACTAAGTTATCAGAGTTACATTTTATCAAGATTACTCTGGCTAACCAGGTTAAGATGAGAATGACAATAATAGGGCCAAAGTAAAAGCCAAAAGGGCACTTGGAAGACTACTGCAAATATTCAGAGTCAATGGTAATCTAGATCTAGATGATAGAAGCGAGGGTGGTGAGCACCATTCACGATTTGAAGGTAAAGCCAATAGAATTGAATAAAGTTTTGAGAAAGAAAAAAGAAGTGTTTTCTGAATAACTGGAAAGATAAAAATGACTTTAGTAACTGGAAGAATAAAATGGAACAGACTCTCAGAGATGGTAGGGCAAGGGGCATGGAAATGTCAAAATTTAGCTGTTTACCAGTCAGTCAAATAGATATCCAGTATGAGTAGGCGTAAACTGGAGGTTAAGATTTTGAATAATCTTCCTATATAGAGAGACAAAAGAGTGATTGGACCTGGTTCAAGAGAGAATAAAGAACATTTGGAAGCAGTAAGAATAAACAATGCTTTTGAGGAGAGTTGGGGAAGTGGGATCGAGAGAGTTTTGTTTCAATAAGGGGGAATTATACTGTATTTTTATAGTTATAGTAATGAGATGAGTAAGTGGGAAAATAACAATGTAGGAGAGCAATGCGACTATTGTTGAACAATGTTCTTGACTTGGTGAGAGTGAATGAATAAAATAAAAAAAGAATTGATGACGTAGCCTTAGAATTACAGGAGCGAAGTCCAAATATATGAGATCGGGTAATGGTGAATTGGTAGATCTTGAAACTAGAAAAATTCTTTTCTAAATGGAAAGTTATTTGAAAGATTGGACCCAAAGAGAAGGAAATGTAGTTCCAACATATCACTTTGCCAGACAGATTAATATATATCCAATACTAACATAAATGCTCTTCATTTTTTTTTTTTAACATTTAGTTATTGTATAAACAAAGTACTGAAGACTTGGTAGTGGATACAGAAGTAAATAAAAATCTTAATAACTTTGGCAATATAAAAGAAAAATATAGGTTAAAAAATGAAGGTATAATTGGAGGTGAGAAAAGATGGAGGAAATTGTCTGAGGGCTACTATCAACTTACATAGAAGAGAATTAAGTTACTGAGCAATACTGATGGAAGAAGATATGAGGGTTAAATTTAATATTTAAAAATTAATTATGAAAATCATGGTATCATCAAATATGAGGTAGACAAGGTAGAAGTGAGGCAGTGTGAGTGAACTACATCTCATTTTTTATATGAGATAATAGCATTGCTTGTATTTGCTATATCAGGAAATAGAGGTTAAAATAGGCATGTTATTTAGAGTTCTAAAGATTACCACCAGAAAACCAAAACAGAAATAATTTAGAGAAATATGTAGGATGTAGGATTGAAGATGGAGAAAGTCGTACTGAAGAATATGCTTTTCATTATATACTTTTCAGTACTACTGGCTTAGTTGCCTTATGTATGTATTAATTTGACAGAATTTTTTAAAATTATAATTTCTTAAAACTCTTAATGTAATACAGTCATCAAAAATTGAGAGTTCTTATTGTGTTTTTTATAAATATTTGTCATACATTGTCAATTTTTTAAGAAATATTGATAATATGGTAAAAAATCTATAGGTAAATATGTATTTGTCAGTTATTGATTGCTTAGTGACATACTACTCCAAAACTCAGTGGCTTAAAGCAATAGCATTTATTATTGTTCACAAGTCAGCCAGTCAACTGAGTGGTTCTTCTTGTCTCTGGGATTAAACCATGTGTCTGAGATCACATGTGAGGTTGGCCTTTCTACTGACATTTCAATATCTTTCATATATTTGGAAAGTATCTGGCTTAAAACTTGGTCTAGGATGACCGTGGCTGAGGAAACTGGGCTCTCTCCTCCATGTGATGTCTCTTACCCTCTAACAATCTAGCCCAGGCTTATTTGCTTGGGGGTTCAGGTGTCCAAGAGGGAGAGGTGCACAACGCTTCTGAAGACCTGGGCTCAGAACTGCATACATCCCTCTACCGCATCATGTTGGCTAAAACCAAGTCTCAAGGCCAGTCGGCAGTCAAGACAAAGGGCATGGATACAAGAGGACAATGATCAGGGGGCCATCAATAAAATCAGTATTATATCGTGTTTTTAAAAAACCGAAAAAAATTCACAAATATGCAAATTAAACATATAATTGTGGTTACTTTGTAGTTTGAAATTAAAGAAGCTGGATGATCTGACTCCTTTTTATAAAATTATTATTGTTTAATTTTAATGGCAATCTATTATTTTTTTATATATATATTAAGTAAACGAATCCCTTGCACAATCAGCAAATAAATAGGGATACGGATAAATCACATCTAAAATTGACAACTAAGCAGATCAGGAAAAAGAGAGAGAAAAGAGATTACTTATTTGGATTATTAAAACAGTGATACTCCTATCTCTGTTAAGCAGTTCTCAGTCTGTTTCTCACTCCCCTCAAGGCTTCCACAGTAACACTTCACGTCCAAGTTTGAGCAGGCATCTGTCAAGTAAGGCCTCTCTGACATTTAGTGGCTAAAGGTGGCAGAGACAAGTAAAGGTCAATTTGATTTATTAATAGTGTTAAAAATAGACTGAAAACAGAACAGACACTGTGTGTGTGTGTGTGTGTGTGTGTGTGTGTGTGTGTGTGTGTGTGTGTGTGTGTTTCATTCTGCTGACTATTTTACCAAAGAGAAAAGACAAGTTTTGCTCTCTGTTTTCAAGAGGAAAGAAGCTACATAACGGAATAACGGACGAGAAGTCAAATTTTATCCCGGCAAAGAACAAGAACATTTGAGAGGCTGCAGTTTCCTATTTAGGCAATATTAACATGCACGTCCACCGAGAACAAAGAAAGAAGGCTGCTTTCATTTTCACTGATTTTTCTGCCCAGAGAGCCGGAGCAGCAATGGCCAGTAATTGGCTCCAGTTTTTCCATTGTTTGTGACTGTGTTTTGGGGATTTACAGCTCAGGAGGAGTGGGTAGGGGAGAGGAGAACTCATGAAAGGGACACTCACCAGACACAACTATTTTACTCCCCAAAGTAGTAGGGGGAATAAGGCGTTGGGGCACAGTAATGAGTATGCTGACACGCAAAGTACTTTAGTTAATGTGCTACAGCTTCTTGGGAAAAAAAGAAAATGTAAAATATCTGGACCTATATTCTTAAAACTTTCCTATGATTTTAGGCTTTTCTTTGGATTCATACTGACCCAGACTTCTCACCCGTTTTATGAATATTCTCTTGTTTGGGCGAGAGGACATGCAGTTGAGCAGAGTGACTCGTTTCCTCCATATTTCTGTTCTCTGTAAGACCTTTCCTCTGCAGTAGCAAGCAAAACAGCTGTAGTTTGTGCTCTCAGTCTCTGCATACAGAGCTGCCCTGCCAGCTCTGCCCATGGAAACAAAGTGCATTCTTTTACGAGTGTAATATGTTTATGTTTGACTGCTATACATATTGAACATAATGTGTTTTTAAATTAGGTATTGATAAAAGTGACAGGAAGTGAAGAGATGGTGGGCGATAAAAAGACTGAACTGATTTAAGCTATCATTAATTTCCTTAGTGAAGTTGCTTTGTCTCCGAACCTCAGTTTCACCATCTATAAAAAGGCACAGGCTTGAATGAGATTGGTGTTATTCTAAGTATGGTCTTTGGCCTCACCTCAGGAATTGTTAGAAATGAAAATTCATGAACTTTATCTCAATCTATCAAATCAGAACTTTTGGGAATGGGGTTCAGGAATCTCTGCTTGTCAAACTTTTCAGGAGATTGTTTGGCATGTTAAAATTTGAGACCCACGGACCTGTCCATATCTAAAATCCTATTGTTCTCACAGATAAGAGACTGAAAGAAGATCCCATCAACACGCTGAAGCTGATTACCAAGAACATGCTTGATGGAATTTTTGATGATTTGATGGAAAAGAATGTGTTAAATAAGGATTACTTACAAAAATTAGGGAAAGGAGTGAACCTCATCATGAATGAGACTGAAATCCTGATTGAGGATGTTGCTGAGAAAAGTCAAATGGTTGGCAAAATAGTTATGAACCATGTCTTCAACACCAAGAAACAGCTGTGTTCAAATGAGTGTCTCGGGCCAAAGGGCTAGTAACTTGTATAACCTTACGCAGTTTTTGTTGTCTTCTTCCTGCTCACAAGTGGAGAACTGTCCACATCTCTAATATATTCTTTGTCTGACTTTATTATTTAATACTGCAAAATGCCCTGACAGGCCAGAACCTGTTCCAGCATCCCCAATTTCTTTTAAAGTAAGCAACTGTCACCTTCAATCATTCCATAACATTTCATTTACTTATTCATTATATCTCTCCCTGCTAAAATGTAAGGTCCCCGTGGCATCTATCTCTGTCTGCTTGGTTCACGATTACATCTGAAGCTCATAGAAATGGAACATGGTACGTAATAGGTGCTGAGTGAATATTTGTTAAATGAATACATGTGATAGAGCCGTATTAAATTCAATGATAGTTTTTAGCTAATCTGTGCTACTGTGGCCATACACCATGGACTCTACAGTCATCCCAGATATAGAACATTCAGTAGAAAAACCCACCGTCTTCCACTTTGCTGTGGCTTACCCAAGGGGTAAGTCTCTGGGAACACATATTTCTCATTGTTAAAAGAGAATATAAGGAATTTGAGGGTTAGTGGAACATAATTGTGTCTTTCTCTCTAGAGCATGGGTTGGCATGCTTTTTCTTTGAAGGGAAGACTATTTTAGGCTTTGCGGTCTCTGTCACAACGACTCAAATCTACTGTTGTAGTATGAAATCGGCAATATATAATGTGCACAAAATGAATGTGGATGAATTCCAATAAACTTTATTTACAAAATTTTATTTACAAAAATAAGTGTTGGGCTGGGTAGGGTCTGCAGGCCATAGTTTGCTGACCCCTACTCTAGAGTAAAATATATACATGAGTATATGTCAAATCCTTGCACCAACCCTTGGGGATTATTTTTTGTTGTTGAAAGACTACCCAACTTTTGTACAGAGATGTAGTTTCTCACCTCAGAATGAAAAATGCTGTTGCAAAAAAAGTCTCGATTAAAAAATTTGATTAGTCCTTGAATTATGGAAGCAGGAAGATAATGAGCTCTTCTTTGTCTCATGGCAACTCTGCCTCCTCCTTCACTTGGCAGAAAGTTACAGCACTCTAAAACAAACCCGGATCTTAGAGAATGAGCCAGCTCTCTAGGCTCCATATGGCAGCCCCATGCTAAACACAGGCATTTCCTTGTCAGTGCAAGGGAAAGCATTTGAAGTGTGTGGGTTCAAGAAACTTAGTTCTGCTAACAAGTCTTTTCTTTTTTTTCATTTTATTTCAGAATCTCATTCTGACAATGAGACTAATGAATCTAAGAACAATGAGTCATTTTCTTCTTCGACAGGTAACAGTCTCCAAATCTCACACCACCAGTGAAAACTCTTAGACCTCTAGTGTTGTCAGAGTGTATTCTGGTAAAGACTGGGGAAATCTGTGTCTTCCATTTTCATCTTTGGAAATGACTGTCAGAGTAGAGCATTGATCCTTATCTTTTTTGTTCAACCCACCTCAGAATCATCTGAAGATGAAAGTGAAGAAAATAGAGATGAGGAAAAAGCTGAATCAACCCAGGCATTGGCTCTCCCTCAGACAGGTAACTGCCACAAAACCCAGTGGCCTATGGGAGCCCTCATACATCACTTGGGGTAAGGAAGCTGTACCGGGGCCCTGTGTTATAGTAGAAAGACCATTGAATTTAGCTTCCAGAAATCTGGGAATTTCTCCTTTCTGCCCCTAACAAAGTCCCTCAAAAGTAAGATTAGCACATACATCCCTGCTCTTCAATTCTCCTAAGGGTCAGGAAGTGACAGTGAAGATGATGAAACTAAGAAGCATGCTGGATTGTTCCAGGTATCACTTCTACCTTTGACAGGTAATATCATGAACACATAATGACTTTATTTGAGCTAAGGCATATAAAAAGGCCCTATGGTGTAACAGAAAGAGAAATGGAAACCCAGGAAACCTATACATTGAGCCCATCTGCCACCGACTAAACATGTTTTGCATAATTTCAGGGAACATGCAAGAGAAAAGAAAATTAGGCTGTAGAAAGAGATGTTGTTCTTGGAGTGTGGGGGGAGGCACAAGAGCCAGGGTGGACATGAGAACTTTTTCCAGGTGATATTTCAGTACCTACCTGAACAATAGGGAGAGAGTTGTACCAAACTCTCAAGCAAAGCATTCCATGGAAAGTGGAAACAAGAGCAAGGCTCTGAGTCTGGAATAACCTTGTTATGTATCGGGGGCAGAGAAAAGGCTAATCTGGCTGGGGAGTAGAAAGTAAGGGAAATGTGGTAGGAAGAACTGCGAAAGTGTCAGACTGTCACTGCCAAACCATTTTGGGCCTTTTAGAAAGTAGGAAAGAATTTGAATTTTATTTGCAATAGGAAAAACTTTAAGAAATTCTTTAGCGGCGGAGTTATAAACATAGAGTCAGAAAGGATAATTGAAAGTTGTTTACATGTTTTAGTTAAGAGATAATATCTTCTAGACTGGAACTGCAGTAATAGAGGTGATGATGAGTAGTAAAATTTGAGATCTATTGTGGAAGTAGAGTCAACAGGAACTAAGGATGGATTAGATGTGAGCTAGTAAAAGAAATGAAGGAATCAAGCAAGGATAATTTTAGGCTTTTGGCTTGGCAACTGGGTGAAAAGTACCCGTTACAGAGATAGAGAAAACTTATGATTTAGAGAAAGCTCAGGAGAAAGAAATATGTAGGAGTGGACAAATATCCAGAGTTCATCTTTGTACTTGTTTTGTTTGAAAGATATGCTACATCCAAGGGTAGATGTTGAATAACGAGGTAAATGTTCATCTGAGGAATTCACAGAGGAATAACGGATGGGAATAAATCTTGGGATTCATCAACATGTAGATAGTATACAAGATGATGGGACTGGAAGAGGCCATCTGGGAGAGATGCTGATAGAGAATAACAAAGGGTCTAATATAGAACAACCTAACTTTGGGGAGTATGGCAGAAGAGGAAGAACCATCATTGAAGACAGATTTAGAAAGAGCAACTGGAAAATGCAGCATCACAGAAGCCCACAGAGCAAGATGTGTTCAACCACATTAAATGCTAAGAAAGCCAAAAATGGTCAGTGGTAACTTTGATAAGCAGTATTTCATTCAAGTGATGAGAACAATAGCCAGTTTATATTGCATACAAGAAAAAAAAAAATGAGTTGAAAAAATGAAAATAGTGAAAATAAACAAAGCCCTTAAGGAATTGTGCTGAGAAGTGAAGCAGAGAATTGGGACAATAGCTGGGGGGGAAACGAGGTCAAGGGAAGTTGTTTTTAAAAGATAAATTGATATTAAGGCATGCTGATTTTCCGATGAGTGTAACACAGCATTAAAAGTGGGGGAAATCAATGATGTAGAATACAGGGCTGGATAAATGCCTGAGTGAAGTCCTTGCGGGTGAGAGAGAATGGAATTCAGAGCCTATGTAGGAATATCATCCTTCAATAGGAGGAAGAATATGTCTTTCTTTGTAGTGGAGGGAAAATTGAGTAGATGAGGACAGAAGTAGGTAAACTGATGGATTTGTTGGTTAAAAAGGTGAAATCATTCTTAAACAACATAGGCTTATTGCCCTAAGGGAACCACAACCAAGGGATACTTCCTAGCTATTTTCAAGTTGAAGATAACTGTTCATTAGCAGCAATTGTAAACATTTAATCTGTGCTATATATCATTTTAGATAATGGAAATACAGAGGTTAAAGACATTTTCCCTGTCTTAATTAAGCTTACAGTATAATAAACATGATTAAGATAAAATACAATAATTGTTTATATGGAGACATTTACATAAAATAATGGAAAGATTCATTGAAGTCACAGAAGAATTCATGGGCTTTCACAGGGAAAGGAATTAGACATTTTTCTGTATAGTCTCAATGCAGTAAATGCATATCAATGCTTAAAAGGTTCACACTTTATGATTCTCAGAACTGTTCAAAAATCCTTTAGAATAAGTTCTCTATTAGTGGATATATTTCAGACAATGGTAATAATAAGTAAGAGGTGTTTTAAGTGGAGTCCAAATATCTGAATAATGACTTAACTAGGCCAGATGAACATTGGGCTTCCTTCCAAATCTTAGATACTGTGTTTATGTGAGTCTCATGTGTTAAGTTTGAAAAATTAGTCAATGCGCAACCACTAACTAAAACAGAAATCTATGGTGGGTTCAGTAAGAAGCAGAAAGAAAAGAAGGAATACTCAAGTTTTTGTTTTAGTCATTTTAAATATGAAATGGTTCTCTTATTATATTAAGCTTTTTGGCGGGATGGCAGTAAGCATTTCCAAAGAATGAGATCCCAGTCAAAAGAGCTGCAGATTGTAAGACAGTGCATGTTATTGGTTAATATAA